AGATGCAAGCATAATATAGTCGTAATTCGTAATTCTAAAGTAGATTGCTTAGACCAATTAGTGAATTAGTGATTTAGAGTATGTTTGGTAAGCACCATAAGCTAAGCTCATATCTTATTTGGTTAGCTTATTAACTTCCTGTATTCAAAGCTTGGTTTGGTAAAAAAGCTCAAGCTTATCTCATAAGTTTCCTTGGGTAGCTTTTCAGTTGTCTCTAATTTTACCAAACACTTTTATTATATTAGTTACCTTGGGTAGCTTTTCAGTTGTCTAATTTTACCAAACACTTTTATTATATCAACTGTAAGTTCGAAATTCACTTATTAGTTATCAGCTAACTTATTAGCCAACTAGGTTTACCAAACATAGCTTTACGAATGCAATTAAGGAAGTAATATATTGCTTGGTTCATTCCTCATGAAATACAGTACCTTGAAATTTTTTATGTTAAACCATTTCCTTCTTCTAAGTGCAGAATGTTTTTTGGTTGCTTGACTTTGTGCACCATTGTCATGGAATGACAGCAATTCTTTTGTCCCAATTTCGATTACGCAGGTTGCTGACAAGCCTTGAATGCATCATGGCTTGTGCTGTGGGGGATTTGCGGAAAGTGAGCTTCAGATTCAATAACTGTGTGATTATATATCGACAACTATGTGAGACTCCATTCGGTCTTTTGTTATCCTTATTTTGAAGCATCCGCTGCCAGCTGATGCAAGAGATTGTGATAATAAAGAACACGTTGTCAATAAACTTAAATAAGATCCTTGTATTTTATTATGAGTTTATGTTGAACTGTTTTTTGGTTTTGGCGGTAGGTTATCAGATACGTTTGACTTGTGAAAAATAGTGGAGCAAATATTTTCTTTCTCATATTGAGGACATTTTGATATTGTTACCTGGCATGTCAGTTCTGAAACTTGTACCATGTTTGGAGCATAATTAGTTATCTACGTGCTTTGAATTTTTTGGGGGGTTTGAGATTCGTAATGTGAATGTTACCTGTGTGGCTGTATCTATCACAGCACAGGTGGTTTTGGTTGCGATAGCTGGGCATGACTTGATTCGTGTCGATCTAAATCTTTTTCATAGATATTTTAATATCTAGGCTACATCTTTGTTTAATTTGGTATCCCTTCTTTTACCCTTTGTGGTTAAGAGGGGAAGATAGTGCTGGTTATGATTGTGTAATGTCATATGGAACTCAAAAACCAGTTAATGGATTTCTGGACGAGCAACAGCTGGTGACACAGTTATGTTGAAATTTCTAGCACCATGCCTGTGCAAATTCTATAGGAGCTGATCTTTAACCATTATGCTGCTGTTGACCTTGAAATGTCCCAGAATGTTGTTAGTCCATATACTGATATTGAAAAAAGATTTCGAGGTTGAATTTTACCAACACAAGGTTGACATAGGTAGATTCTATGTCGAGTCTTTAAAAATTCTGCTGTTGGTCCTGCGATAGGTGCACAACTCCTCGTTTTAAAAAAGATTTTGTTAAATAAATTTCTCATGTAACAAGCTTTTGTAAATGAATTCCTAGATAAAGTTTTTAGCAGGTTTAAATCAAGAATGCCAGTTCTAGCTGAAGCGAAGCTTAAGCCTTTCTGCAGATGCTTCTGAAAATGGTGAGATTTTAGCAAATACGCAGACATAAAGATGGTGAGATTCATTTGAGATGAGCAAAACGAAACATTAAGTTTACTACCTAACTGTCTGTAAGTTAGGAAAATCGACACCGTTGGGAAAAAATCGGCTCTAATGAGAAACTATGGGTGGTAACATAACCATTAGATGAGAAATTAAAATTTTATACAGGTGATTGTAGTTTAGCGTTAATAGCAAAAGGGATCAAGTAACATTGAGGGGCTAGCAGTTTTGTTAAAGACGGCAATTTTTGGTATCACATGTGTTGAATTTTGCATTGCAGAATACAGATTCAATATATATTATCATTTCCAAAACCGCAGTTTTTGGAAAAGGGCAAAGTCATAGCATCAAGAAGTTTAAGGACCGAACCGAAAATCCTTCAATAAAAGCAGTGAGAATCGAATTTGAATGCCTGAGCCTGAGTGAAGATAACAAATCATTTTTGTTCAGACATGTTGACTTGATTTGTCACAGAACTGACCCTAATATAGCACTTACCATTGCACAAATTAAGGCAATTGTGCTATTTCAGTATGAATAGAATCCCCCTTTGATTAATTAGTATGAGAAAGATGGTTAGAGGTCCTAAAGTTTGTTGGTAAACTGTTTTGACTATGATTATGTAATGATCAAAACATGTGAAAATTTCCTTAAGTGAATTGTATTGACTATGATCCATGAATTACTAGCTAGAAACATTTCTTCCTTATTTTTTCATCCTTCTTTTACTTTTTTGGTGTAACAAGAATTCAAACTAGGAGGGAAAAATGTTTCTATTTCGATTTTCTCTTTTGCAAAAGATGATGAAGCTGCAAAAGTCTTACCTTTGGACATGTTACATTGTGAAGGCCAGCGCCCGGTTCACTCAGAGTTTACATGCCTTATGCTTTCGAAAACGATGAGATTTAGAGTACGCAGAAACAAAAAGTGCAATGTAGCTGAAGAAAATGAGCATTGAACGATAAAATATGGCAATAAGGCTACGTAAATAGCGTTTAACTCATACATGCATACTCTTGAACAGATTTGCAGGCTTTTTATGCATTGAGTTCATCAGAGTTCAAGGTAGTAAGATGTAATTGCTCGAAAACACATGATTCCAATCACATTTGATCAAATCTTCCGAAGGAACATGAAAAATGAAAATGGCATTGATTTCATTTCAACTCTCTCACACAAGAATGAAATTTGTTCAAATGGATCAAGTATTACAATTGTTTTCAAATCTGTAAAAAAAAAAAAAATATAATAATAAT